ATCTGTGCTATTATTGTTTATTCTAAAATGATTATTAATCTAAAGATATCAACTCTTAGATATGTATATTCTTGATTTGCAATTATTTTATGTTTAATACTATTGGATAGAAATAAGTCATTTTCTTTCTATGACTCTTATTTTATAGTTTAAATTGCAAATAATAAGGCTTTTTATGTTGTTTTTAATAATTTGACCAAATTAAAATCATCTCTCCACAAAATGAGTCCTTAAAATCTCTAGAGCTTTTAAAACCAAGCAATTGGGTCCTTGACTTCTACCAAGCTCTTTTATTTTATTTTATTTTATTTTTTGCCCCCATAGATTAAATACTAATCTAATCATTAAGCAACCGTTTACAAAACATTGTCATTGTTCTCTTTAAAAAAAAATGGTTGTTAACATTTGAATAATACTAAATAAAAAAATAAAATTTTTAATTTAGTTATCATTTTGAAATTCTTACTTAATAAGTTGTCAATTTTTTTTTTAAAAAAAAAGAATAAAAAGAATATTTTAGAATAGTATTAGCATTCCAAGGTGTGACAAAACAATGAGCAGTAATATATGAATAATCTTTTCATATAATCTTATTATATAACTTTTACATGTTATTAAATAAATAGATGTACTAAATATAATAAATTTTAAATAAATAAAAAATTAATTATTTAAATAATAGGTAAAATTATATTAAAAGGTCATAAAAATTTTGTTTCTAAATCATTTTTAAAAACAATAACATCATCCTCTAAATAAATTCTATATTTAAAGGTAGAATACTATAGTAGAAAATATAATAGTAGTTCATCTCATTAAATTTACATAAATCAATCAATAAAATACTATCATACTATCAAATCTTAAATTTAATTGCTAATTTTCAACATAAAATTAAAATATTGCATGTGCAATACTTATTTTTCCTTATATTCTTCCGTCCAAGTTGATAAGATTTATGGATACACTATACAAGAATATACTACAAGGATTTAAAAGGCTAGGGATCCAATTGCTTCATTTTAAAGGTTGAAAATACTTTTCAGACACTTTTAAAAGTCAAAGACTAAATCAATATATACCCTTTAAAATAAAAAAAAATCAGTTTTTTTTTTTTTTCATTAAGGAAATTAATCGCGCGAGATTCGGGAGTGAGTCAAAGATTACCAACTCATTTAGTTTTCGTCTCCCGCCAGCCGCCACATCTCACCGCGAAGAAACGGTAAAAAACCCCAAAATTCACAACCGACACGTGTACTTTTCCACTGTTAGCCCCTTTTTTTT